GGCTTGGCTCCCTAGTTTTTTGAAGGTTCTTCATTATTCTCCTTATCATTTTCCTAGCGGGATGAGAGTAGATAAAGTGTGTGGTCGGCGAAGGCGAGATTCTGCTGACATTATCCTCCCAGGTCCTTCACATTACTCATCTGCTCGAGTGTATGGTTAGATTTGTGGATATACCCTGACACTTTTTTAATTTCTTAAAGGTTGCCATATCTGAGTAGTTGAAATTTTCTTGTTGAACTTTCAGTATTGTTTCTCAGTGGCCCATTCGAAGAGTTGGTTGATATCCCCTTGGAGTCTCGCAGTGTCTTCGATTGGAGGTCACTGCCATGGTGATAAGGGGTGTCATCACAAAGTAAGACCACTGTGCTATGGCTTACATCTCTTTGTCTGTCAGAAATGAGGATGAGGAACAGAATTGGCAGTGAGTACTGTGCCTTGTGGACGTAGAGCCTTTTTACCATGGTGCCTAGGAACTTTACTCTGTTTACGGTTACTCTTAGTGTTCTTTTTGTCAGGAAGTTGTAGATCCATTTTTACAACTTTTCCTGTTTTTGCCTTTACCGTTTTTGTGTGTTATTACCATTGGTCTCACTTGTCAAAAGCTTTTTGCAAAGTCTGTGTATACTACATCTGTATTTTGTTTATCCTTACGCATCCGGACTTGCTCATAGTTGGTCCGGTAGCTGGGACTGGCAGGGAGCGAACTGCTATAAACTGTGATGCCCTGGGTTGTGTAACGAATGGCGTATCAGGTGGTTGGTACCTTGCGTCTTATAGAACCTCTCAAAGAGTTTTATGATGTGGGATGATTGTGCTTTGGGTCTGTAGTTCCTTTGCAAGTGGATTTACTGCCACCATTGTGGAGTGGGGCTTATGTTTGTTGTATTTAGTGTGTGTGGGATGATCCCTGTGTCCATGCTCCCTCTCCATAAAATGCTGAAGGCACACAATAGGGACTTCTTGCATTTCTTGATGAACACAGAGTTCCATGAGTCTGGGCCTGGGGCAGAGTGCATGGGCATGTCATTAACCCTTTGAGGGTTTTCGTTCGTACTAGTACGTCTTACGCGTAGGGGTTTTTGACGTACTAGTACTCATAAATTCTAGCGGCCTCAAATCTAGTGGGAGAAAGCTGGTAGGCCTTCATATGAAAGAATGGGTCTATGTGGTCAGTGTGCACAGTCTAAAAAAAATCCTGCAGCACACAGTGCATAATGAGAGAAAAAAAACTGTGTCATTTTTTTTTAATAAAATCAGCGCACTTTGCAGGGTAATTTTCGTATGGTATTTATTGTTGTATTCTAGTTTTTTGGTTCTCTTTTTATAGAATGGAAGACATATTCTGAAAGTGAGCTGATTTTGACTGGTTTTACACTTGAAAGGTGCCTTGAAAATTGAGCTCAAAGTAGCAGAGATGTTCGATTTTTAGCAAAACTTCAAAAGTAAACAAATCTGTTGCAAGCGCTGCAATTACACGATCCAACTGGTGGTCTAATATTTCTTTCACAAAGTGACCAATAATATTTATACCTTATTTTACACTAATGCAGTAGTCATGCATAACAGTAAATCTTATATTTTTTGTGAGAATTAAAATTTCAAAAGTGGAATAGCAAAAGATATAAGAGGGGCCTTGAGACGTGACTAATGACTAGAGGAAATGTCATTTTAGTGCCAGGAATGTCTTTCTTGTTTATTCTGGACCCTATTCGGAAATTGGCATCTTTTGAAATTTGTGTGAAATTGGCAAAATTGCTAAATTCTGACCACTGTACTGGATAGTAGAATTTATAAATGGGTGGTTTCTTGCACCCATTCGATAGAAAAAACGGAGTTCTAGCGAAATATTCATGTTTTTTGTCGACTAGTACAGTGAAATTGGCCGAAAATGGGGCTCAAAGTGGGCAAAATCGCCGATGCGTAAACATCGCCGAGACCGCTAACTTTGCGAGAGCATAATTCCGTAAGTTTTCTATCAAATTTCAAACTTTTGGTGTCGTTATGATCGGGAAAAGATTCTCTATCTTTTCATAAGAGAAAATAAATTTTTTTTTTTTTAAATTTGGCCGACCCTGAGAACGAGTTTCGGAGAGGGCCTGTCGACCCTCAAAGGGTTAATTGCCTCTTCAAAATCTTGTGGAGTTATAATATCCGAGAGTTTTGGGCCAACCAAATTTTTGGTTTCATTCATAAAGAATTCATTTGGATTGTTGACCCTTAGAGTGGGCAGTGGCTCGCTGAACACTGAGTCATATTGGGACTTTAGTATCTCACTCATTTCTTGGCTATCATCTGTGTATGTCCCATCCCGCCTAAACAGGGGCCCAATACTGGATGTTGTTTTTCCTTTAAATTTGGAATAAAAGAAGTATTTTTTTTTTTCAATTTCCTTTAGGGCTTTCAGTTCTTCACATGATTCTGGTCTCCTATAAGATTCCTTCAGCTTAAGTTCAATATCTGCAATTTCACTGACTAGTACTTCCCTTTGTATTTCAGATATATTGACCTCACTCAGCAGCTCTGTGACTCTTTCCCTTCATCTGTATAGGGAACATCTCTCTCTTTCTAGGTTATATCTTCTCTTTCTTTTTCTTAATGGAATGTGTCTTGAGCAGATCTCAACAACCACAGAATTCATTTTTTCAAGGCAGATGTTCAGGTCCGTGTTGTTTAGGATATCTTCCCAGCTTGTTTCATTTAGGACATGGTTTTCTTGATCCCATTGTATGTTTTTGTTATTGAAATTGAATTTCACGAAGAGACCTTCATGACTGCTTACATTTTGCTGGTCCGGAGCCCTGTGTATACTTGTCTGTACCTCTAATATATTGTGATCTGAGTGAATTGTCTTTGATACAGTTTATATTACGTATCAGATCATTGTTGTTAGTGAAGATGAGGTCCAGCATAATTTTTAGTCTTGTAGGCTCTACTATTTGCTGGTTTAAGGTGAATTTGTTGCAGAGATTTAACAGTTCGAGTGAATGTGAATTTTCATCATAGCTGCCTCCCGGGGTGATCTCTGCTAAAACATTGTTTGCTATATTCCTCCATTTTAGGTGTCTCAGGTTGAAATCTCCTAGTAATAAGATGTTTGGGGCAGGAGTTGGGAGAATTTCTAAGCAGGTGCAGGTGGTTAGGTGCTGGTACAGTAATGTGGAGAGTGTGAGTGTAGGTGGGTATGTGCTGGTACAGTAGTGGAGAGTGTAGGTGTAAGTGGGTAGGTGCTGGTACAAGAGTGTGGAGAGTGTGGTGGTACAGTAAGAGTGGTAGTGTAATAAAGTACCTGGAGTGTGTGGTGGTACAGTAAGAGTGGTAGTGTAATAAAGTACCTGGAGAGTGTGGTGGTACAGTAAGAGTGGTAGTGTAATAAAGTACCTGGAGTGTGTGGTGGTACAGTAAGAGTGGTAGTGTAATAAAGTACCTGGAGAGTGTGGTGGTACAGTAAGAGTGGAAGTGTAATAAAATGCCTGGATAGTGTGGTGGTACAGTAAGAGTGGTAGTGTAATAAAGTACCTGGTGAGTGTGGTGGTACAGTAAGAGTGGAAGTGTAATAAAATGCCTGGATAGTGTGGTGGTACAGTAAGAGTGGTAGTGTAATAAAGTACCTAAGGAGTGTGGTGGTACAGTAAGAGTGGTAGTGTAATAAAGTACCTGGAGAGTGTGGTGGTACAGTAAGAGTGGTAGTGTAATAAAGTACCTAAGGAGTGTGGTGGTACAGTAAGAGTGGTAGTGTAATAAAGTACCTGGAGAGGGGTGGTGGTACAGTAAGAGTGGTAGTGTAATAAAGTACCTAAGGAGTGTGGTGGTACAGTAAGAGTGGTAGTGTAATAAAGTACCTGGAGAGTGTGGTGGTACAGTAAGAGTGGTAGTGTAATAAAGTACCTGGAGAGTGTGGTTTGGGTACAGTAAGAGCGGTAGTGTAATAAAGTACCTGGAGTGTGGTGGTACAGTAAGAGTGGTAGTGTAATAAAGTACCTGGAGAGTGTGGTGGTACAGTAAGAGTGGTAGTGTAATAAAGTACCTGGAGAGTGTGGTGGTACAGTAAGAGTGGTAGTGTAATAAAGTACCTGGTGAGTGTGGTGGTGCAGTAAGAGTGGTAGTGTAATAAAGTACCTGGAGAGTGTGGTGGTGGTACAGTAAGAGTGGTAGTGTAATAAAGTACCTGGAGAGTGTGGTGGTGCAGTAAGAGTGGTAGTGTAATAAAGTACCTGGAGAGTGTGGTGGTACAGTAAGAGTGGTAGTGTAATAAAGTACCTGGAGAGTGTGGTGGAACAGTAAGAGTGGTAGTGTAATAAAGTCCCTGGAGAGTGTGGGTGGTGGTACAGTAAGAGTGGTAGTGTAATAAAGTACCTGGTGAGTGTGGTGGTGCAGTAAGAGTGGTAGTGTAATAAAGTACCTGGAGAGTGTGGTGGTGGTACAGTAAGAGTGGTAGTGTAATAAAGTACCTGGAGAGTGTGGTGGTGCAGTAAGAGTGGTAGTGTAATAAAGTACCTGGAGAGTGTGGTGGTACAGTAAGAGTGGTAGTGTAATAAAGTACCTGGTGAGTGTGGTGGTACAGTAAGAGTGGTAGTGTAATAAAGTACCTGGAGAGTGTGGTGGTACAGTAAGAGTGGTAGTGTAATAAAGTACCTGGAGAGTGTGGTGGTACAGTAAGAGTGGTAGTGTAATAAAGTACCTGGTGAGTGTGGTGGTACAGTAAGAGTGGTAGTGTAATAAAGTACCTGGAGAGTGTTGTGGTACAGTAAGAGTGGTAGTGTAATAAAGTACCTGGAGAGTTTGGTGGTACAGTAAGAGTGGTAGTGTAATAAAGTACCTGGAGAGTGTGGTGGTACAGTAAGAGTGGTAGTGTAATAAAGTACCTGGAGAGTGTGGTGGTACAGTAAGAGTGGTAGTGTAATAAAGTACCTGGAGAGTGTGGTGGTACAGTAAGAGTGGTAGTGTAATAAAGTACCTGGAGAGTGTGGTGGTACAGTAAGTGTGGTAGTGTAATAAAGTACCTGGATAGTGTGGGCGTGGGTGGGTAGTGGTTGGTCCTGGAGAACATGGAGATACAGTTGACCATCTTGTAAAGTTATCCTGGAGTAGCGGAGGTCATCTTGGTCTTGCTGGACACCAAACACCAGGCCAGCCTCCACCAGCCTCTTGACGCTCTCACTCATCCCACGAAGATGATCAATCTGTGGACAGTTACCACCATTATCACCTCTTCACAGTGTCACTACCATTATCACCTGTGTACAGTATCACTACCATTATCACCCATGTGCAGTCTCAGCATCATTATTACAAGTGTACAGTGTCACTATCATGTAGAGTGTCAGCACCATTATGACAAGTGTCCAGTATCACTATCACCCATATACAGTGCCAGCACCATTATCACAGGTGTACAGTGTTATGATAATGTTTGCTTCAGCATGATAGTGTTTGAACAAAGGAGAATGGGAAAAGCCACTATATATGCAGAACATTTTGGCCAAACTTAAGATTAATAAGGCAATAACAATACAGTGTAAATTTAGGAGTTTACAATTAATAAAATATAAGTGAATATTTATTAGTTCAGACATGACTTTAACAAGTTTACTTGAGGGGAATTACAAGTTTCATTATTAACCTAAAGTGGACACAATTGTTTAATGATTGTGAGAGTTACATATACAGTGGACCCTCGATTTTCATAATTAATCTGTTCCAGAGTCTGCTGAAAGTTGAAATTCATGAGAATCGAAGCCATTTTCCCCATAAGAAATAATGTAAATCCAATTAATCCGTTCCAGACACCCAAAAGTATTAACAACAACATAATATTTTTATGTATTAAATATAGATTTATATACATAAAGGAATGAGAAATCAATATAAAGCAATAATAAAATGTATAAATGATCATTTAACATCACACTGACCTTTATCGAAGACTCTTTTTGGTGTATGGAAGACAGGAGGAGGGGAGAGGGTTAGGGTGATGTTCCTCCACAAATGTTTGCACTTCACTCCACTTTGCACAATGTCCTTAATCTTTAACTCTTTGACTGTTACAACCCAAATCCTCAGGTGTCTCCTGGTGTCACAAAATATTTGAAAATGAAAAAATTATTTTTTCTTATGAAATGCCAGAGAATGTTTTCCCGATGGTATTGACATCAAAAGTAAGAAATTTGATGGAAAACTTACGGAATTACACTCTCGCAAAGTTAATGACCTCGGCAATATTTACGAATCGGTGATTTTGCCCACTTTGAGCCCTGTTTTTGGCTAATTCCATTGTTCCAGTCAACCAAACTCATTACTATTTCTTTAGAACTCCATTTGTTCTATCGATTTAGTACAAGAAACTGCCCATTTACTGATTTCAACTACCCAATAAAGAGGTCAGAAATTGGCAATTTGGTCAATTTCGTGCAAATTAAAAAGTATGCCAATTTCAAAATAGTGTCTAGAATGAACAATGTAGACATTCCTTGTTCTAAAATAATATTTTCTTTGTTCATCAGTCACGTCTACAGGCCCTCTGATATTACTCTTGCTTTCTATTTTGAATTTTTATTCAAACAAAAAATAGGAGATTTACTGTTATGCAGACTACTGCAATATTGTAATAATTGTATAAATAACATCAACCCATTCATGACTGTATATTAGAATGGCTAGTTGGACATTTATTGGACAATGACATCATTTGTTTACTCTTGAACATCAGCAAATATCAAGCATTTCCCCTAATTCAAACTCCATTTCAAGATCCTTTTCATAGTAAAACCAATCAAAATCACCTCTATTTCTATAACATGTTTTCCATTCTATCAAATGTGACAACAAAAAAGAGAATATAACAATAAAACTATACGAAAATACACCTCAAAGTCGGCGTTTTAATCCAAAAAAAACATGGTCGGAGTTTTTTTCTTTCCATTATGCACTGTGTGCTGCAGTATTTCTTTATATGGTGCACACTGACCACACAGACCCATTTTCTCACATGTGGGCCTACCAGCTTTCTCCTGCTTGATTTGAAGCTGCTAGAATTGACGAGTATATATACGTCAAACATATTGGCTCGTAAGACGTGTGTGTGTGTGTGTGTGTGTGTACTCACCTAGTTGTACTCACCTAGTTGAGGTTGCGGGGGTCGAGTCCGAGCTCCTGGCCCCGCCTCTTCACTGATCGCTACTAGGTCACTCTCCCTGAGCCGTGAGCTTTATCATACCTCTGCTTAAAGCTATGTATGGATCCTGCCTCCACTACATCGCTTCCCAAACTATTCCACTTACTGACTACTCTGTGGCTGAAGAAATACTTCCTAACATCCCTGTGATTCATCTGTGTCTTCAGCTTCCAACTGTGTCCCCTTGTTACTGTGTCCAATCTCTGGAACATCCTGTCTTTGTCCACCTTGTCAATTCCCTCAGTATTTTGTATGTTGTTATCATGTCCCCCCTATCTCTCCTGTCCTCCAGTGTCGTCAGGTTGATTTCCCTTAACCTCTCCTCGTAGGACATACCTCTTAGCTCTGGACTAGTCTTGTTGCAAACCTTTGCACTTTCTCTAGTTTCTTCACGTGCTTGGCTAGGTGTGGGTTCCAAACTGGTGCCGCATACTCCAATATGGGCCTAACATACACGGTGTACAGGGTCCTGAATGATTCCTTATTAAGATGTCGGAATGCTGTTCTGAGGTTTGCTAGGCGCCCATATGCTGCAGCAGTTATTTGGTTGATGTGCGCTTCAGGAGATGTGCCTGTTATACTCACCCCAAGATCTTTTTCCTTGAGTGAGGTTTGTAGTCTCTGACCCCCTAGACGTACTTCGTCTGCGGCCCTTTTTTGCCCTTCCCCAATCTTCATGACTTTGCACTTGGTGGGATTGAACTCCAGGAGCCAATTGCTGGACCAGGTCTGCAGCCTGTCCAGATCCCTTTGTAGTTCTGCCTGGTCTTCGATCGAGTGTATTCTTCTCATCAACTTCACGTCATCTGCAAACAGGGACACCTCAGAGTCTATTTTCCCTTTCCCTCATGTCGTTCACAAATACCAGAAACAGCACTGGTCCTAGGACTGACCCCTGCGGGACCCGCTGGTCACAGGTGCCCACTCTGACACCTCGCCACGTACCATGACTCGCTGCTGTCTTCCTGACAAGTATTCCCCGATCCATTGTAGTGCCTTCCCTGTTATCCCTGCTTGGTCCTCCAGTTTTTGCACCAATCTCTTGTGTGGAACTGTGTTAAACGCCTTCTTGCAGTCCAAGAAAATGCAATCCACCCACCCCTCTCTCTCTTGTCTTACTGCTGTCACCAGTCATAGAACTCCAGTAGGTTTTGTGACACGGGTTTTTCCCGTCCCTGAAACCATGTTGGCTGCTGTTGATGAGATCATTCCTTTCTGGGTGTTCCCCCACTCTTCTCCTGATAACCCTTCCCCCATGATTTTTGCATACTATACATGTCAGTGAAAACTGGTCTGTAGTTTAATGCTTAAAGGGTCTGTCTCCTTTTTTAAAGATTGGGATTTACTTTTGCTGTCTTCCATGCCTCAGCAATCTCCCCTGTTTCGATAGATGTATTGAATATTGGGTTGTTAGGGTACACATAGAAACCTCTGCTCCCTCTCTCAATACCCATGGGGAGATGTTATCTGGCCCCATTGCCTTTGAGGTATCTAGCTCACTCAGAAGCCTCTTCACTTTCTTCCTCGGTGTGTGCACTGTGTCCAGCACTTGGTGGTGTGCCCCACCTCTCCGTCTTTCTGGAGTCCCTTCTGTCTCCTCGGGTGAACACTTCTTTGAATCTCTTGTTGAGTTCTTCACATACTTCACGGTCATTTCCTTGTTGCCCTCTCCTCCTTCCTTCCTTAGCCTGATTACCTGGCCCTTGACTGTTGTTTTCCTCCTGAGTGGCTGTACAACAGTTTCGGGTCAGATTTGGCTTTCGCTGCTATGTGTGTGTGTGTTGTGTGTGAGTGTGTGTGTGTGTGTGTGTGTGTGTGTGTGTGTGTGTGTGTGTGTGTGTGTGTGTGTGGTGTGTGTGCGTGTGTGTGTGCGTGTGTGTGTGTGTGCATGTGTGTGTGTGTGTACTCACCTAATTGTGGTTGCAGGGGTCGAGACTCAGCTCCTGGCCCCGCCTCTTCACTGATCGCTACTGGATCCTCTCTCTCTCTGCTTCCTGAGCTTAGTCATACCTCTTCTTAAAACTATGTATGGTTCCTGCCTCCACTACTTCACTTGCTAGGCTATTCCACTTGCTGACAACTCTATGACTGAAGAAATACTTCCTAATGTCCCTGTGACTCGTCTGAGTCTTCAGCTTCCAGTTTTGACCCCTTGTCCCTGTGTCCCCTCTCTGGAACATCCTATCTCTGTCCACCTTGTCTATTCCCCGCAGTATCTTGTATGTCGTTATCATGTCTCTTCTGTCCTCCAGTGTCGTCAGTCCGATTTCCCTTAACCTTTCCTCGTACGACATTCCCTTGAGCTCTGGGACTAGCCTTGTTGCAAACCTTTGTACTTTCTCTAACTTCTTGACGTGCTTGACCAGGTGTGGGTTCCAGACTGGTGCTGCATACTCCAGTATGGGCCTAACATACACAGTGTACAGTGTCTTGAACGATTCCTTATTAAGGTATCGGAACGCTATTCTCAGGTTTGCCAGGCGCCCGTATGCTGCAGCGGTTATTTGGTTGATGTGTGCCTCCGGTGATGTGCTCGGTGTTATGGTCACCCCAAGGTCTTTCTCCCTGAGTGAGGTCTGTAGTCTTTGTCCACCTAGCCTATACTCTGTCTGCGGTCTTCTTTGCCCCTCCCAATCTTCATGACTTTGCATTGGCTGGATTGAATTCGAGAAGCCAGTTACTGGACCACATGTCCAGCCTCTCCAAGTCTCTTTGCAGTCCTGCCTCATCCTCGTCCGATTTAATTCTTCTCATCAACTTCACGTCATCTGCGAACAGGACACTTCAGAGTCTATTCCTTCCATCATGTCGTTCACATATATCAAAAATAGCACTGTCCTAGAACTGACCCTGTGGGACCCCGCTCGTAACAGGCGCCCACTGTGATACCTCTTCACGTACCATGATTCGTTGCTGCCTCCCTGTCAGGTATTCCCTTATCCATTGCAGTGCCCTTCCTTTTACGTGTGCCTGATCCTCCAGCTTCTGCACTAATCTCTGTG